AGACCTGTGGTCATTTTCAGATTTTGCTTATAACAAGCTGCTCATTGAGGATCAATCAATCAGATTCCAAACTCTTCTCCACGACCGAGACAAAAGAGTTGTCCAAAGATGTCAGAGACAAGATTGTAGACCTACACAAGGCTTTAATGGGCTACAATACCATCACCAAGCAGCTTGGTGAGAAGGTGACAACAGTTGGTACGATTATTCGCAAATGGAAGAAACACAAAATAACTGTCAGTCTCCCTCGGTCTGGTGCTCCATGCAAGATCTGACCTTGTGGAGTTTCAATAATCATGATAATGGTGAGAAATCAGCCCAGGAGAATCTTGTTAATGATCTCAAGGCAGCTGGGACCATAGTCACCAAGATAACAATTGGTAACATACTACGCCATGAAGGACTGAAATCCTACAGCTCCCGCAAAGTCCCCCTGCTCAAGAAAGCACATGTTCAGGCCTGTCTGAAGTTTGCCAATGAACATCTGAATGATTCAGCGGAGAACTGGGTGAAAATATTGTGGTCAGATTAGACAAAAATCGATCTCTTTGGCATCAACTCAACTTGCCGTGTTTGGAGGTAGAGGAATGCTTCCTATGACCCCAAGAACACCATCCCCACCGTCAAACATGGAGGTGGAAACATTATGCTTTGGAGGGTGTCTTTCTGCTAAGGGGAAATCACCGCATCCAAGGTATGATGACCGGGACCATGTACCGTCAAATCTTTGGTGAGAACCTCCTTTCCTCAGCCAGGGCATTGAAAATGGGACGTGGATAGGTATTCCAGCATGGCAATGACCCAAAACACACAGCCAAGGCAACAAAGGAGTGATTCAAGAAGAAGCACATTAAGGTCCTGGAGTGGCCTAGCCAGTCTCCAGACCTTAATCCCATAGAAAATCTGTGGAGGGAGCTGAAGCTTCGATATGCTAAATGTCAGTCTAAAAACCTTAATGACTTGGAGAGGATTTGCAAAGAGGAGTGGGACAAAATCCCTTCTGAGATGTGTGCAAACCTGGTGGCCAACTACAAGAAATGTCTGATCTCTCTGATTACCAACAAGTTGAAGGGGTCAAATACTTATTTCACTCATTGACATGCAAATTAATTTAGAACTTTTTTTTATTTTTTTATTCTGTCATTCACTGTTAAAATACACCTACCATGGGGGGCGTGTCCGACTTCCGGCGAGAACGGACGCATGGCTTGAGAGCTCCGCCGAAAATCTAGCCTGACAGCGACAACAGAAGCAAAAACTGCACATTTGCCCACCCATCCGTGCTCCTAAGGTATTACCCAACGACTATGTCACCCCCCAAACAGCTGAAGATCATGGACGCGGTGAAAACCCGGAATAAAGACCGGAGAAAAGACAAACAAGATGGCGGCGACACACCTGGCTTGTCGGACGACCAGTCAGATGTTGAATCAATCTCCTCCAAACTATCGGACTCAATGATCACAGAACGAAGTCTGCATAGAATGCTGCAAGATCTCCGCTCTACCATTAGGAAGGATTTCCTACAAATTGACAGTGAACTGAGGAAGGAAATCACAACACTGGGCGAAAGAACTAGCCATCTTGAAAACAAATCCGACGAGCTGTGTGTAGCTCACAATGAAGTTGTTGATAAACTTCAGAAACTCTCAGAAGACAACAATATGCTTCAATTAAAATTAGCAGATCTAGAGGATAGATCCAGAAGGCAGAACGTAAGATTCAGGGGTATACCGGACGATATATCCCACGATGCTCTTCCTGCTTATATACTATCTATTTGTAAAATCTTAGTTCCAGACTTACCAGACTTTGCATGGACTTTTGACCGCATGCACAGACTTCCACGCCCGGCACGTATGGCACAAGATGTCCCTAAAGACACTATTGTGAAGTTTCACTACTTTGCACACAAGAACACTCTGCTCAACGCAGCAAGAAAGGCAGGCACTCTACCTGACCCCTTTCGAAATATATTCCTATTTGCTGATCTGTCAGCTTCCACTATGGCACGTAGAAAAGAATTTATAACCATCACCAAAACCCTACGCAATAATAATATCTCCTACAAGTGGGGTTACCCAACAAAACTCCTGGTCTGGAGACAAGGCAGAACACTGGTTATAACCGAACCAACCGAAGGCATGAAGATAATCACCTCCTGGGGGCTTTGGAATGCAACCACGACAACTTCACATGCCGCACAAGCAACAGACCTCTCCCCGAAGAAACTTCAAGCGGATTGGAACATGACGGGATCGTCTACTACAAAACCATGAACTGCCTCTTAACTCAACATTCGCGGGAAGCGATGAGTATAACCTATACTGCAATATGCTGACAAGTTCTCATGTTCAATTGTTCTCTCTTTATTCTTTACTGTGTAATATGTCATTACGTTTGCATTGAATGTCAGCATAATTGACTCTAAAACTTAGTTAAGTTATATGCCTTAACTCATTTTTAGGGAGTAGATACTATGAAAATGTGGCAATGCATAATTGTACACGCCTGATATGAAGTGCACATTGCGACATGGACCCTTTCAGTTGTGCCTATTAGCCTGGTTCTCCGTGATCGCTCACGATCACCATGTGTCACTCAGCACAGATTCTGATTTTAATTGCGGGTGAAATTCTAAACCCAGTACTCCTGTACTTGGACTGATGTCCATAAAATGGTAGATTAACATCATTGCACCTAGTAAATGCAGCATATAAGTGCAATCACCGCCTATCTGAATATGAGCGATTAAACTAACTTAAAACCGTGCAACAATATACTACCAATCCCAACTTACTTTAGAAGGAATGAGCGCACGCGCTTGTATCACCAAAAAGTTTATTAAACATAGTATTTTTCTTTAGCTTACTTTATGTTCCTTCCTTGGATAAATCCTAATCTATGACTTTAAAACGGCAAAAAGCGTTGCAGCTGCATACACCATGTCGCAGGTACACGTTCCCAAATAATAGCTTTCACAAGTGCATATGCTCTGACTGTATATAGTGCTGGGCGCCGTATGCAGGTCAGAAACAACAACCCTTCACCTACCAGCATACGGTGCAACCCGCCTTATTGTATTTATTTTACTTTATTTTAATTTTTTATTTATGTGTACACTTTATATTCGCTAGTCATGTCTTATGGTTTTACAGTTAAGTGGCCGAGTCCTATATTCAATGGGAGAGGAAGGACATCATAGACGATTGAGCGTAGACGAATCACTATTCGGCAACGTCGTCCTTCCAAAACCCCCCCCCCCTCTCTAGCTTAGTATCACCACTACCCGGTTGTCATGTTGATATCACCATCCCGTGTTTCATGTCACGCTCTAATAGAATTCGGAAACCGTTCGCCTGCCGAACGCATCCTCTAGCTCTGGTGACACGTTAGCAAATATATGAATATTGCAGATATACATTAGCACTACCTTCTTCACTCTTCCAGGCGTGGTAGTTTATGCCACATTGGATCTCCTCTCTTCTAATGATGTTTTTGTTACTTTTGTGTATTCTTACAAGCAGTTACTCACTGTTACGCGATTCACATCAGGCTGGAGGACCTCTCTCTTGCCCCCCAGGTCATGGCTCGAGACACTCATAGTGGTCTCAACATGTCCACTCTACACCTTCTCTTCAAAGAAGGTTCCTTTGTATATAGTTATGTGTTTCTTGTTAAATCCCTCTCTCTTCCCTTCTTCTCCCTCTACTTGTTACCCTCACATCCGAACGCATCACTAAGTAGCCCATCCGTACGCCTTACTGGACGCAATGATTCACTTGATACTACTGGCTCTACTTCTGTGGAAGTGAACGTTCAATTGGCCCCTCATACCATAAGGACAGGACACCTAAGCGCAGCCACGAATGCTACCCAATCAATCAATGGCTAATACAATGAAAATTTTATCTCTCAATGTCAAAGGCCTCAACAGCCCGTACAAAAGAAGACAAGCTCTAAAAGACATGCACAACTCCAAAGCCGCTATAGTATGCCTTCAAGAAACTCATTTTTGTAAAAAGAACCCTCCTACTCTACGCTCCTCCAAATACCCCATAGCTTATCATGCTTATGCGCCAAACAAATCAAAAGGTGTAACCATCCTACTACATGCAGACTGGGTATTCACCCCAACCAACCAATATGTTGACCCAAATGGGAGATTGCTAGTTATAGTGGGAGACCTTAACGGAATCCAAGTGACGATAGCGTCCTTATACGCACCAAATGAGGCTCAATTCTCCTTTCTCAACAAAGCCATAAAGAAAATCTCCTCACTAAAACAAGGACATGTTATAATTTGCGGTGATTGCAACTGTACACTAGACCCTACATTAGATATTCAACGTGCCAACGATAAAAAGCCTAACAAACTAACCATCCACAACAGCAAATCATTTTCCAATCTTATTTTCTCTCACGACCTCTATGATACGTGGAGAAACCTATTCCCAGCTGCTAAGGATTTCACTTACTTCTCTCCGGTCCACTTAACATATACCCGAATAGATATCTGCTTGATAGATAAATCCACTTTACCTCATCTTTTAGATCAAACGATAGGGACCAGAACATGGTCGGACCATGCCCCAATAATTATCACAATAGCAGTGCCTTACCCAACGAGAAGCCGAGGCAAATGGAGATTAAATGAGTCCATTCTTGACACACCTTCGTATTTAGAGAAAATTGCACGCGATCTGCAAAACTATTTCGAGATCAACACTACAAATGATACATCAATAGAAACCCAATGGCTCGCTCACAAAGCGGTAATCAGAGGAGAATTTATCAAAATAGGATCAATCATCAAGAAGAAATCTCATAACCTACAGCGAAAGTTGCTCCAGGAACTCACGACTTTGGAAAATGTCAACAAACTATCCCCTTCTCGCAACACGACGAAACAAATAACAGAAACGCGTGAAGAGATACTAAAAATTAAGGTCAAAGAATTCACCACGAACGCAGCTAAACTTCAACGTCACTATTATGGCATGGGCAATAAAGCCGGAAAATTACTAGCAAACCAACTGAAATCTAAATATCTTCAAACGAAAATCCCATACATTCTCTCAAAGTCACAGATAAAAATATATAATCCTACCGACATAGTGAACGAATTAGCATCTTTCTATGAAGAACTATACAACCTAGACGCAAACGAGAATACGCACACCCCAGACAAAACAGAAATTCTAACCTATTTAGAAAAAATACAATTGCCAAAAATTTCACAACAACAAAATAACGCGCTTACTACCCCGTTCACGGAATCCGAAGTAGCTGCGGCTATCAAATCTCTCCCCAGGCATAAAGCCCCAGGCCCAGATGGTCTCCCGAATTACTATTATCTTAAATTAGAACCATACCTATCCCCGCACATAACCAAACTTTTTAATAAAATAAAAGAAACTGGCCACTTCCCTAGAACCATGTTGGAAGCATACGTCATTACCCTACCCAAGCCGAATAAACCACCCACTTCCTGTGGCAATCTACGACCAATTTCGCTATTAAATGCTGATGTGAAGCTCTATGCAAAACTTGTAGCCACAAGACTGAAACCCTTGCTATCTACCTTGGTTTCGGAAGAACAAGCAGGCTTCGTGCCTGGCAAGCAGGTGGGAGACAATACCAGATTTTGCATGGACCTCATCGACTGGGCAACTCGTCAACGTGTGTCCGGGGTCTTAATGGCCTTGGACGCAGAAAAGGCTTTCGATCGCCTTAATTGGACATACATGGAGACTGTTTTACAAGCTTATGGATTCTCGAAAACCTTCATTACGAGCATTATGGCCCTCTACTCCGCGCCATCGGCGAAAGTACTAAACTCAGGATTCCTATCTAAAAGCTTTGATATCTCCAATGGTACGAGACAAGGGTGTCCCCTATCCCCCCTCATATTTATCTTATGCCTAGAGCCTCTCATACGAACAATCAAACAAGACCCCTTACTGCCAGGCTTTCTCACACCAGCAGGAGAAAAGAAGCTGGCCTTATTCGCGGACGATGTTATTCTTTTTTTAGCAAACCCTAGAAGAGCCATTCCCCATCTCATGTATACTCTTGCCTCATATGGTAACTTGTCATTTTACAAAAACAACATCAGCAAAACACAAATACTCCCTCTAAACCTCGAACCCCAGGTCACAGCTGACTTGAAATTACAATTCCCCTTTGATTGGCGCAAGACTTCCGTTACGTATTTAGGTATCAAACTCACACTATCACACTCTCAAACTATAAAAGAAAATCATGAGGCAGTCCTATTGAAAATATCCAACCAACTGAAATCCTGGGATAATTTGAACACCTCGTGGATAGGAAGAGTGAATTCGGTTAAAATGATGGCGCTCCCTCATATTCTATATCTCTTCAGGACACTACCCATCACTCTTCCCAAATCGATTCTTATGAAATTCCAATCAACTATCAACGCGCACATCTGGAAAAGAAAACCTCCGAGAGTCGCTGCTCACTCCTTATGGAACCCCACCCATCAAGGTGGCCTGAGCGTTCCCAATATCACAAACTACTACAAAGCATCCACGCTAGCACAGAGCCTGGACATTATGTCAGGAAAAGCCAGCCCAATTTGGCTTCAACTCGAACAAGCATGTAGCCAACTTGATTCCCTATCTGACACTATGTGGGCCACAAAAAAATGCCCTACCCACCCACCATTGCCATGCACTAAATTTCTTCTGAACTCTTGGACAGCATGGAGCTCGAACCTCTGCTCCAAGCAAGAACTTCTTTACCTGGCCCCATTACGAGTCCTATCCACATTATCACCAGACTTGTCGTTAACACACTGGCATCACCAGGGCTTAACTCATGTCTACTCCTTGTATAACTCCAAAGGCCTTCGCACCTTCCCTGACTTACAGGTCTCTCATAACCTGCCACATAGGGATATCTTCCTCTACTTGAGAGTCAAGCATATATTGCATACTGCAACTGTTAAATATCAAGACCCATCGATACTAAGCTCAATAGGCCACTCTTGCTACAACATGAGCACAACTCGCCCCCCGCCGAAATTCCTCTCATTGTGTTACCTAGCCCAATTAAACATGTCAAAAGAAACCAAATTACCCTACATGCTACACTGGGAAAAAGACTTGGATACGGGGTTCCATCTCAAGGACTGGTTATCTGCGATAACAACTACCAAAAAATCCACCAAATGTGTTAATCTATGGGAAGCATACTTCAAGGTACTAATGAGATGGTATTTAGTGCCCGATAGGTTGAGTAAAATATATCCAACGGCTGCTCCTACATGCTGGAGGTGCAATAGTGGTAGGGGCACAATATTACATATTTTCTGGGAATGCCCACACCTGGATACTTTTTGGAAATATGTGCAGAACGTCATACACACCATCTCCGGGCTACAACTCTCCCTACGTCCTGATTTCTACTTGCTCCATTTAATACCGAACGCACACCAACTACCCTCAACGGCAGCTGTAATTAATACTCTGATTGCGGCAAAATTATGTATTGCGTCTCATTGGAAGAGTGACTTTATCCCATCAGCAAAAGAACTGCTAAACAGAATAAACACCACATACTGCTATGAAAAGGAATGGGCCATAAAAGGGAACATGACCAAATTTAACAAACAATGGAAAGGTTGGGAAACCACGTACAAACACCGCATCGACTCGGGATAAATTCCGTCTCTAGAATGGAGTGAACTCTCAGACGCCATTTAAGGTCGCTCGGATGTGAGGGTCTCAGGTCTCAGGCCTCAAGTCTCTTGACTCTTGTTTCCTATCTTCATGACCTAACTTCTCTCTCGTTCCTCCCCTTTCTCCCCCTCTCCTTTCTCTACCCTCTTCTTGTTTCCACTGTACTTCCTCCTCGCCTCCCCCGCCCTCTCTCCCTTTGCATCTCACTCTTATTCATTATCTCCCCTCTACCTCTTATACATCAACTCCTCAAACACTCCAAAATGACTAATCTAAAGGGCCATCGTCTAAGCAAATGCACAATGGAAAGCACGGCTCTATGGCTGGACTGACTGTCCTCACGCAATATATGACACTCACAAGAATATACCAGTAGGCAATATTCCAGTCAAACTATTTGAATCTAAACATGGTATGTCTGTAGACAAAACCCCCTGTCAGAGGCTCCCTCCCACCTTCTGTATGACCACAAGGCCATTATTAACGCATGTTGTACCAGGTACAGTAAACTAAGCACCACTCTGACCTCTCCATGGCTTCTGACTTGATCTATTAACACCCCAGCATACAGACGCTACTATACCGTCAATAGGAGAATCACATGTCTCGAGTAAGAACCACTAATAATAACAATAATCAACGGTCCCTCTAGCACCTGTACCTCAACTCAATCTAGCGCCACAGGACCTTACAGGTGTTATATGCCATTCTGAATTTGCCCCAGCATGTTGGATCAGTCTATTCCATTCCACTCTAAACCTGCCATGTCCTAATCATTGCTGTAAAACCCGAAGATGCTACGATGCTCTCTGTATGTAGACTATATACACTTGTTTGAATACTATGTACACTTACATTAAATTACTGTACGGTTATTATATTAAGAACTCTGGCAGCAGAATGCTTACTCATATGTACAACCCACCATGTAAACGTTTCTGTATTGAGTGAAATGTACAAAATCCAACCTGTCTGTAATCCCCCCCCACCTACCCCCCCCCCCTTTCTTTTTTCTGTATCCCCACTGTTATTTACTCTTATGCAAAACTCTCCAATAAAAAATCAGACATGAAAAAAAAAATACACCTACCATTAAAATGACAGACTGATCATTCCTTTGCCAGTGGGCAAACATTCAAAATCAGCAGGTAATCAAATTCTTTTTTCCCTCAATGTATATAGCCATTCCATAATGAGCCAGCACTCTAGGTCATGGAATTAAAAATATTTTTTATTGTTACATCAGTCTAATAGTCAACATTTCCGTTTAATCTCTTAACTATATTGAAAGCTCTTAATCGTTTCTCCAAATATTTTTTATGGACAATTTCTGAGCAAGCTGAACCGTCAAAGGTCCCAAACTAAATTTAATTTTCAGAAAAAATGGTTTGGCTGAACTGACATTTTCCACAGTGCACAAGTCTATGTACTACCTGTATGGGCAATGGAATTAAATATTTGAGAAAGTGGGGCTTGTAGCTAAAGTAAGTTGTAATCGTCTGTGAGCAGAGACATGGCGACAGGAGACTCCCTTGCATCATAACCTGTGCAATGAGCATACGTTTTATGATGCGTGGAGTGACCCTTCAAGCCACAGCACCATCAAAACAACCTCTTTAAAATGAAACCATAGGACTGATTAGAGCTTCTGACTATTGCCATTAATTTGTATTCACTTTTAGGAAAATGTATTATTTTCTGTGTCAGTTAACCCACTTTTACAGCAATTTGCAATGAAATTGCAAGCAAGCTGTACAAATTATCACCAGTTTTTTACAACTTTGCAAATCCCATATCGTCAGTTGGAAATTCATATTTGGCCAGAATTACCCTAATTTCTTTAAACTGCGAATTCCTAAAAATAAGAAAGAGCTTCAAGACATAACACATGCGCACAACCTCCCGCCTGATTGCAGCATTATAATTACGTGTTAGACCATTATTGAAGAACGAATACACTAATGTGCTATTTCATGCAGTCAAAATGGCCAAGTTGCCTACATATTAATATGTTCACATTAGGATTGCAAATGACATTAGTCGGTTCTGCTATGCAGTCAACCATGGGATCATCGAATGACTGCAATAAGTAATATTATCCTCTCAACGTTTGGATTGATATAGATTTCCTGGATATTTTAACACTAGTGAGGAAGAAAAGAGGCTTTTCAAGCTCTTAAAAAAGGACAAAAATGCCGGTTTTATAATCATTGCATATTCATGACCATTGTAATATAATGAAAACAGCACAATAACTTATCATGTATGATTTCAGTAAAGGTATAATAGGCCTTGAAATGCATATTGAAAGAACAAGTATCTCACTATGATTTTCTGTAAAAAATACTTTATTGTAGTTTAGTTTTAGAATTTTGCACAGTGCTTATTCTCTGTCCGTATAGTAAAGGTGTCTACTAAGAATGAGGAGCGATTAACCTTATCTTATTGCATCCGTTTTGAAAGATAATTGTATTCTTCATGTCTCACTTGTTTTATACCATATTTCACTGTCATCAAAATTCAGCTAGATACAGTCTATATATTATTTTTTACTTTTAAGCAAATATAGTTATCAAAAACAGTATGAGATTTACCCTGCTGTAGCAAAAATATTGAAACTCCCACGGTGCATTTGTATTCACTTTTTTAGTTTTAAGATTGTAAAAAAAATGATAATAAGTGGTCGAGAATAGTTTGTTTTTTTATATATCGGTATAATATTTAAAAAACTGCAACTTACAGTGCTGACTTGACGGATTCTGGATAGAGAGTTGTCATTCTGCATTATTCCTACATTTAAAAAAAAAAAAAAAAAACTCTGTCAAACTTAAAAAGTGGTTTGGAACACTGAAATATTGCAATGTATCTATGGGTATTTTAAATGTCACTTAACAGTTTCCATATATATATAAAGCAACCTTGGCTAAACTATCTCTCTCGTAATTTGAATAAGGGCAGTAATCACCATAAGCCAAAAGATTATTGGTAGGA